TTCCTCCAGGGCCAAGGATGGGTGCCTTCACTCCCCTTGTCTCTCCACTGGGCTTGCTCTTGCTGGATTTCCCTTCCTGATGGGTGTTGATTGTTAGTCTGTCCTCTGGCCATGTCCAATCAGCCAGTCATGACCTTGTAAAATCTCACAACTGTTTTATGAAGTCCTCTCGAAATTAAGTTCTGGCTACTATTTTTGTCTCATGTTCTTTAGGGAGCATATTATGTGTCCATGAAACATTTTTTTAAAAATGAACTCTTACTGATTTTTTAAATAAAGTTCTTACATTTAATACGCTTCCTGTATAAGTCTGTAGTTAAACATGTTCTGGCACAAATCATAATCAGGTGATAGTATGTCTTGCTTTGCCAGAATAATATTTTGTGAAAGATGTTTATGAGAAAAGTAAATATACCCTGTTTGCTTTATAAAGTTGTTTAAAGTAAAGTAAAAATTGTAAGTCAGAAGAGTCTGCATAGCTCTGTCTCTTATAGAACTAACTTGGGCTCACTTTTTAACAAAATCAAAAGAAAACTTAATACTGTTGAGAAGCTGGCATTAGTCCTTACATTTTGGAGAAAGACCATCGGGTTTTCACAGAGCTCCACATTGCCAGTGAGAGAGGGAGCCGTGGAGCACAGGGCTTCGGGTATACGGAGCTTAGAAAATGCCAGAAGATATACTTACCCATGGTGTGTCAGTAGAATTCAGACTTGGCCCCCAGATTTTCGTTTCCTGGTTCACATGCGCTGCCCAGTCCTCTGGAATGTGAGCAGCACCTGTGACTGGAGGGAGTCTGATTCCCATGACTAGGGTATTTTCTCTGGTAAAAGTAATGTTTCATATGTAATTAAGGCCCTAAACATTGACGATGAGTTAATAATAGAATAATAAAAGGATTATCCTGGGTGGACCTGGCTTAATCAGGAGAAGCCGTAAAAGAAATCGGATTCAAAGTGAGAGTCTCTTGCTGGCCTTGAAGGCACCACTGCCTTGCTCTGGAGAAGGCCATGTGGCAAGGACCTCAGGTGGCCTCTAGGAGTTGAGAGTGAGCCCTGGCTGGCAGCCAGTAGGGAAATGGGATGTCAGTCCTTCAACCACAAGGAACTGACTTCTGCCAACAATCAGTGAGCTTGGAAAAGGATCTCGGCTTCAGATGAGATCACAGTCCTGGCTGAGTCCTGCGTTTCAGCCTGTGAGGCCCCGGGCCGAGGACCCAGTTGTGCTGTGTCTGGACTCCTAACCCACAGAAACGGTGAGATAACCAGATGTGTGTTATTTCATGCTGAGGAGTGCAGGGTCATTGGTTACTCGGCAGTAGGTAACTAATACACACAGGACCAGTTAACGGTCGGGAAGAGAGTTGCTCAGAGGAGGCATAACCCAGCATGACACTTCAGAGTAACTGCTTAACCTCATGGTCAATTGCCATGTGGCCACAGAAAAAACTTCAAGGGATTGAGATTTCACATGAATGTTCCATACCTGGACACGTATCATCTTTTCTTCCATTGCAGCGGCTCTCCAACTTCATCAGACATCAGAATCACCTGCCAGGCTTGTGGGAGCCAGTGGCTGGGTTGGAACTGAGGGCTGAGTGTCAGGGGGTCTGGGGCAGGGTCTGAGAATACGCATTTCCCACAAGTCCCCTGAGCCACTGCTTGTCATGAATCAGGAGGTCCTCATTGTCTCCAGTACTTGATTTCTGTATCCAGCCTTTTCCTCATTGGACATGAATACATGTTAACAATTTTTTTTTAAAACAAGTTAAGCCTTAGTGGGTTTGGCTCAATAGATAAAGCATTGGCCTGCGAACTGAAGGGTCCCGTTTCAATTCCAGTCAAGGGCATGTGCCCGGGTTACAGGCTCGACCCTCTTTGGGGGCGTGCAAGAGACAGCCGATCAATGATTGTCTCTCATCATTGATCTTTCTCCCTTCCTCTCTGAAATCAATAAAAATGTATTTTTAAAAATTAAAACAAGGTTAAAATAAAGAGAAGGAACAGAACCTGGTATTCCTTGCATAATCCAAAGTGCTTTTTATTCTCTAACTAGTCATCTGAGAACCAAGCGAGTGATGAGAGACTAGTTAAGTCAGGTTTTTGAAGGACACAGTTAAAGATCCTCTTGGGTCCCACGGACATCGGTGTCCCCCCTCTTTGCCGTCACCTTCCCAGCTCTGAGGGCCACATGTCCATCTTGCACCTGGCACCCGAGGCCCCCCTCCAGCCCCGCAGCCAGATGTCAGTGCGGAGAGGGGCTTCGGGACAACGATAAGGTCTCCAAGCGCACCAGCCCCACCCACGACCTCGCCTTGACCCCCTCCGAGATGCAGCCAGAGCATCGCCTGGAGACGGAGGGACGTTCTGGCTGAGCCTTGGGGGTATGCAGCTTCCCGGAAGAGCCCCAGAGCCTGGGACGAGGAGAGAGGACCTGTGTCCTGCCAGCAGAAGCGAGACCGCGCGGGGGTCCATGGGGCCAGGAGCACGAGTTGGCGAGAGCTTGGAAACTACACTGTGATGTGGGCCGAGGGTCAACGTTTTTTTATGACATAGTTTCAGAATGATTTATTTGGGAGGACGCAGCATTATCATCTTACCCAAAGTCCCCCGGCGTGTCAGAAAGCTCGCTGATCATGGGGGGTGGGCGTGGAGGGGAGTCTAACTGGAAACAGCTGAGAGGGTGGACGTGATCAGCGTGTCTTGTCCTATTATTTGGCTCCGATACAGCCTGGAGGGAGTGGGCCGGAGTGCTTATCCGAGCGCATCTGCATTTCTGTGTGGGATGTAGGTGTGCCTGCCTTTGCACCCCAGAAGAAATGACTGATCTCTTCCGTCAGAGCAGCCTGGTCCCCCGCTGCCAGCTTTCCTGCTTTTCGTTATCACCCCACCCCCACCCCCGAGAGATGGAAGCCCTTCGGGGGGCTCTCCCAGGCCGCTGGAAAATGATTGATGGTGGATTCTTTGAGTCTGAGGAAGGCGGTGGGAATGGAACCCACGGACTTGGAAGGCCACCGCCAAACACCCAGAGCACCGAGGCCCGGCAACTTCACCGCATCACAGCACAAGGATTGCGGGGCGCAAAGCAAACCCCACGCCAGCTGCGCGGTGGCCCATGTGGGCTGAGAAGCCATCAGCTCAGCTTCCTCTCCTCATGTTGCTTTGTGTCCCGCCTCAAACTGCTCTCCCCGTGGCCCAGGATGTCAAAGGAAAGTGACTTCAGGTCAGAAGAATACGCCAGGGCTGGCAGCAGGCCCGGCCCGGCCCGGTAAAGCCCACACCGCGGCACCCAGACAACGCCGTGGCGAGAAGATCCAGGCCACAGGCTACCTGGCGATATCCTCAGAGAGAAAAGGCGAGTGGAAAATTGAGAAGCTGTCCCGTTTCTTTAAAACGAGGGATCGCAGATGTCTCTGACACCAACAGTAATACAGTATGCCCTGCCGAAACCGGTTTGGCTCAGTGGTAGAGCGCCGGCCTGCGGACTGAAAGGTCCCGGGTTCGATTCCAGTCAAGGCATGTACATGGGTTGCAGGCACATCCCTGGTAGGGAGTGTGCCGGAGGCAGCTGATCGATGTTTCTCTCTCATTGATGTTTCTAACTCTCTATCCCTCTCCCTTCCTCTCTGTAAAAAAATCAGTAATATATATATTTATACATTTTAAAAAGTTATAGTTTGCCCTGAGAGCAATAGCTTGTTCCCCCTTGGACAGATGTTTTGTGACCACAGAGTGAAGTCATGGTGATTGATATGTGCCTCATGCCAACCTGGGATGTCTCAGCGGCCACCTCAGCGTTGCGGCCCCTTTCCCCTTGGGGCACGGGTGTGGAGGCCCTGGGTGGGGGGAGCCGCTGGTCCTTCTGGGCCTGGGAATACGGGGGGAGTGGGCAAGAAGGGCGGGGAGCCCACGCTGTCTGGGCGCCAAACATCCCAGCTGGGTGGCTCTCCCTCCCGCACGTTCCCGGGGAGGGGAGGAGATTATAACACGAGACGCACCACCACCCGCACGAATTTCTCTCAGGCTGCGTTCTCAGTCACCAAAGAAGTGCCAACGCAGACGCGGGGTGAATCCAACCGGCCGCGCGAGGCCAAGCTTGTTTTATTACATACATTCTGCACTCTAAGAACTAATAACTTCGTATTGTAAACATTAAGCATACAGAGTGAAACGTCAAGGCCACGTCCGATCGCTGATTGTCTCTTTGGGTCATGTCTCTTTGGCTGGCCGAGATCAACTCGTAGTGTATAAATGCATAAGTTATATAATTATTATATAAAAAAGGGGGCGGGACCGCATGGACTTGGATACTTCGTTCTGACAAACGCACAGCGTTCGCGACTCGAAGGGAACCCTGGAGCCGGTGATGTCGGAGCCCAGGGTGTCTATCGCCGACCCCCCCCCCCCACCTCCCCTGGGGAACAGAGCCCCCAGGAAGCCATGCCGTCCCGAACAACTCTTTTAAATATCAGACAATTCCAGTTACAATTTTTCTTTGGACAAACAAACAAACAAACAAACAAAAGAGATGCATATTTTCGTGTCTGAATCCCACCACTGCCCCTTGCTCCGTTTCGCCACGTCCTCCCTCTCGCTGGCTTTGGCCTGCACTGACCGCATTCAACCGCGAGTCCCCGAGATGCCTTCTCCGCAGTCCCAACACCGTCCCCCGTCCAGCCTGCCCTGCTCGGGCTCCTGCCCAGTCCTCCTGCTCCAGCTCGGCCTCTCCTCTCCCACCCGCCTGCTCATCCTCCAGCCCTCGTCTGCATCCACACTCTCTCCACCACGCACGTGCTCAGTCCCGCGCCCGGCTCCTGGTCCCTGGAATCCTGTAAAGGAGTTGGAAACTCTGGGTCGTCTTCACAGCTTGGGAGGGCTGACCGCCCTCCGTCAAATGGAATGAATCCGATTTCACCCGCAACAGCAGACGCCGATGAGTTCCGTGTCAACGTCTGTTGCACAGTCTCTCTTTTTTCTTTCTTTTTTTTTTTTTTCCTTTGGTGCTGGTTCTGTGTCATGTTTGATATGTTTCTGTTTTCACATACAGGTAGTTTTCTGTATTTAGAAAAGACTGTGCTTTCTGGGTTGCTTTGGTTCGATCCCGGTGTGCACGAGCGGGATCCTGGACTCCGAAGGGCACACGCGTCTTCGGACCGCTTTTTTCTTCGGCGCCGTGTCCTGTGACCTCATGCTTCTACCTACAATGTCTGCTACAAGGTTGGCCCGCGGATTCCGGGTCCGTGGGGACGTCCCCGGGGTTCGCATCCGCTTGGTTTCTGGGGTAATTCTTTGGTCGTTCCCTCCCGCTAAGAGTCTTTGGATCTGGTCCCTGGCTTCCTTCCCCATCCCCCACCCAGCTTTCTCCTTCCTCTTGAGGCACTTTTTTTTGGTTTTTGTCTTTGTTTTGATTCCTGGTCTCCAATAGAGTGTGTGGCAATGTCTGTCCCGGCGCCCGTGTGCTCCTGGGAAAGGCCTCTCTCGCGCTGGGGTCTCTAGTAGTACGTGCCCAGGTGAGACGGCATGTGGCCGGCCGGCAGCCTCGTGTTGGGGTAGATGCCCCCGGTGGGGGAGTTCCAGTACGGGTTCGGGGCGGCGAAGAAACTGGAGGAGGTCACGGGGAGGGCCGGGGGGTGGGGCGCCACAAAGTTCATCTTCTGCGGGTGGGCGTGGTAGGAGCCCATGTACGGCAGGTCCGAGGGGTACTTGTAGAGCGAGGCCTCGGGCGGGTGGGGCTGCAGGGCCTGGGCGATGCCGTGGAAGTCGAACTTGTAGGCGTAGCGCTTGCCGTGCACCTTGGTCATGATGTTCTTGTCGTAGTAGTAGCGCAGGGCGCGGCTGAGCTTGTCGTAGTTCATGTTGGGCTTGCTCTTGCGCTCGCCCCAGCGCCGGGCCACCTCGTCCGGGTCCGTCATCTTGAACTCCCCGTTGGTGCCCTCCCAGGTGATGCAGTTGGAGTTGGAGCTGTCGGAGAGGAGCTCCAGGAGGAACTGCCAGAGCTGGATCTGCCCGCTCCCTGCAGGGGACACGGGAAACACAGGCCAGTGAGGGCGGGCGCACAGATAGGGTGGCCTATCTTCAGCGACAAGGGGGTGTGGTACGGGGCACCCGGGGCCCTTTCCCAGGCCAGCACCTGTCCCTCAGATGCCGGGGCCTCTCCTGTCCTATTGATAACTGCCCGTGGTTGGACAGGAGCGGCCTGGCCCATTCCCAGCAGCCTGCGCGCCAGAGGGACAGACCAAGGCTACGGAGGGAGATGGGCCCCCATGCCCCAGGGAGGGGCACGGTCTGGGATGCTGTTCATGCTCCCGAGGTTCCCTGTGATCAGACTGGAGCAGGGGTCCACTAGGGCCCCAGTGTCCTCTTCCGCTGCCCTGTCCTGCTCTCTCCTTCCCTCTCTCCCTCGAACATGCCCTTAGCTAGTCACACACACAAGCATCCTTATCCCAAGCTCTGCGTCCAGGGAACCTGCCCTAGGACAATGGCCCTTGCTGACTATCGGTCTGGTCACAAACCCAAGTCCTTCCTAGGACACAGGGAATCCCTATGGAGCGGGTGGAGGGTGGGCTGGTCCCGTCCGTTCCTGACTTCTTAGAAGAACAGCCAGGTCAAGGCAATGTTTTCGGGGGTGAGGGGTGGAGGGCCCATTTTCCCCATGCGGTGAGGCAGAATGTGCCTTTGTGAGGAAGGCGATAATGACTTAATGCCATTTATCCTGGCTAGGCCAACTGAAATAACAGAAGTCAGGTTTAGGAAATGAACCCTAAAGAGTTTATGGAAAAAACAGTAAGAGGATGATGGAAGTAAACACCATTATTTCTAACATAATATTTCGCTGGCGCTCGGAAAGCCATTCTGTCCAAACTTTGCCTAGCACAGAACGTGCCCACTCGCAATGAGGAAGTTTGGAGAGTGCTGGCCCCGTTTCAAACCAGCGCGCCCCTTCCCAGCATGAGGCGACGGAAGCCACGTGTGCGCCCGCACTGCGGTGCCAACTGTGCTCACGAGTTTCCAAAGGAAGAAGAAGTGCAATGGTGGGTGCTGCAGGTCCCAGGAGGTGGGGGAGGGGGAGGGGGAGTCAGACGCCAATGAGGTCGAGGGGTCTTGCTTGACTGGGGTGCCTATCAGGATCCTCCTGACCCCCTGGGAGCCAGCTTTCAGAGATGCAGCTTTTATGTTTTCTTAAATTCAGAGACAGCCGTAACCGGTGTGGCTCAGTGGATAGAGCGTCGGCCTGTGGACTGAGGGGTCCCAGGTTCGATCCCAGGTACCTTGGTTGCAGGCACATCCCCAGTGGGGTGTGTGTGTGTGTGTGTGTGTGTGTGTGCAGGAGGCAGCTGATCGATGTTTCTCTCTCATCGATGTTTCTAACTCTCTCTTCCTCTCCCTTCCTCTCTGTAAAAACCAATAAAATATATTTTTTAAAAAATAAATAAATTCAGAAACAAATCAGGCAAAGCATCCTCACCACAATGTCACGATACCTTAAGCTGATTCATGCCTCACTGAATCGCTAAAGGGAAGAAGCGTGAAATATGGACAGTCATACTGGATGCCAGGAGAGACCCAGGTTGTCCGACAGATGTTAGATTCTCTGAAAATGCGTCAGAAGCAGGGCCTGTCTCCTAGACTCCCAGCGACAGCAGCCACGAACACCACCTTTATCACACTCTCAGCGAGAACCCGCTTTAACTCAATAAAGCAAGCCACTCAGTAAACCGATGTCACGTAAACCTCAATTACAAATGTTTCACTCTAGTCCTCTCACCAGCTCCCTGTATAAGCAGCCCGGCTCGCAACTCCTGTTCCCACGCGGGCCACGTGGCGAGGGCCGTGTCTGTGAGCCCCTGCCCCGCCAGCTCCGTGAGAAAGGCCGGCCTCTCCTGGCTGCGTCCCCAAGGCCACGGCGTCCGGTCCCGCCGCACATGTGAAAGGTATTAGCAGTTTGTAGGGCGTCGCCCTGGGAGCCTGTGCTTTCTCGGGACCACAGACTGTTCTCAATCAAGCCTTCTTGCCCCCAACGTCTCATGAATATGCATTTAAACTCACACCCCAAGGGTGGGGTGGGAGAACCATATGGTTCTAGTGTATATATTGTAACCGAAGGATTAATACTTGGGGGGGGGGGGGGGGCGGGAACCCATCTGGGACCTGGGGCTGGAGAAGAACGTGGATTTCTGATTCAGCCATCTGACATATGCTTCGGGATAAACAGGGAAGCATCTGAAAATAAATATTCAGTGGGCCTCCTCCCGAGAAGGGCAACTCCACAGGTTTGTAGATGCACACAGCCCTTCCCGCGCGGCCTAAAGAATACTCGGCGTCTACCCAAACCTGACGGACACCCAGGGCACACCTTGCCCAGCAGGAGGTACACGGACCTAGCGCACACCAGTGAACGCCGCGGGCAGGGGTAGCGGGACGCTGACATCGCCCGGGCATCCACGCTCCGTGATGTCATCCTCCACTGCAAAGTGCGCGCTGTGGGAGGAGCCAGCACCGGAAGTGACGGGGGATTTATTTTCCAGAGCGCGGAGTGACAGGCTGGTGGGGCCTGAGGCCCAGTAAGAACCTGCCCTTTCTCCCAGCATGGAAGTGGAGAGACAGACCGTGCTGAAGATAACCCTGAATGTGACATCGTAGGGTTGCAAGTAGCATTCTCCTTTCTGAAATAGGATTTACCTGCTTGTGTGATAGGTTGAGTTGTGCCATCTCTCTCTTCCCCAAATTCACATGTTGGGGTCCTAACCCCCCAGAACCTCAGCATGTGGCCTCATTGGCCACGGGGTCTTTCCGGGGGTGATCCAATGAAAGTGAGGTCATTGGGGTGACCCTGCTCTGATGTGACCGGTGCTGGGAGGAGAGGGTGACAACACTGGGAACAGAGACCCACGCAGAGGGAAGACAGGAGAAGGGACGCAGGCAGAAGGCGGCCGCCTACAAGCCAAGGAGAGAGTCCGCACCAGGTCCCTCCTTCAGGAACCTCAGAAGGAACCAGCCCTGCAGACACCTTGACCTTGGATGTCGTCCTTCAAAACGGACACAGGAAACATCTGTTGTCTAAGCCTCTGTCCCCCTCGTTGGCCCTTTTTCTAGTGATCCCGGGAAATTCAGGCAGCGTGGATGGGGTCATGGTGTTCTTTTGTGGGAGCTGAAATCTTCATTTATAACCCAACCCGTATTTTTCCCCTTGGGCGACTCATCCAGCGAGACCTAACCCTGGGACGGGTTCCGTGGAAGGAACTGGTCACCCTTGCCAACGTGTCTCTCATAATAGCCACTGCAGTAAAGGTTAGCAACCACACCAGCTGTCTCTCACCTGGGTTTGCAAGGCGGCTACTCGTCGGCCCAAGGATCTGATAAGGATCTACAGAGAAAAGAAAAGAGAGTCAGACCCCGGAGACACAGCTGTGACGCGGGGATGGCACTGTGGGCGTTCTCCTGACCGCCTTGTGCTCCCCGGCCTCAGAGCTGGACGTGTCACCTGGCATCACCCCTGTGTCAGCTAAGACCTCCCAGGGGAGCTAAGTCAAGTGTCTTGCTCAGAGCCTCCTCGTCTGGCTGAGCTCTGACTCGGCCCAGGGTTCACTGACCCCGTGCTCTCTCCACCCGGGACAGGTGGCACCAGTGTGGGTGTGTCTGGGCAGTAAGGCGAGATCAAAAGAACTTGTGGGTCACACAGCGACACCCTGCGTGCAAGTGGGATGTTCCCTCCCACATTCCCTGAGCAGACTGTGGAGATGTTCTAACCAACTGCCCAGTCCTCCTGGCCGAGGAGACGGACCGCTCCGTCCCCGACTGACACAGGAAGCAGTTGTTGTGAAGAAGACAGAGCAGCAGGAGTCTCGCGGAGAAAAGGACACATTTTAGAAACATGCCACCCAACCTGCTGCTTCCCTCACGGCCACGGCCACGGCCCCCGGACACATACCTAGCTGAGGCCGCTGGTCTTCGGACTTGGGCACCGCGGAAGGAGACGGCTGAGCAGCTGGATGGGAGGGAACAAGGGAGACGGTTAGCTGGGACCTACGAGGGGCCGCTCATCTTGGGTGCTGTTGTAGCATCGTCCCATCAACTACCTCGGTGATACAACAGCCTCCCTTTTATAGTAAGAAACGTCGTACAGGAAGGGGACATTTCTTTCCTCATGAAACCAAATGCCCATTGTAGAGAGAGAGAAAAAGAGCACTCTGTATTATCTCAAAAATGTATGTGTACCCCCTTTTTCCAAAAGAAAAGAATCTGAGATGGCGTACAAAACAGATTTAAACGAATCGCAGTCTAAAATGAGTGAAAGGGAAATGATCAGCAAAATGAAATAAAGAAAGGGGCACTTTAAACGTGGCCGAGGTTCGAAACCGCTCAGCATGTAACCTGTACGCAGCGGTCCTGGGAGGCACGTGTGGGTGGGAATGGGCGTCCATGACACCAGTCTTTTCTGTGTGTGTGGGAGTGGGTGTGACCCCAACAGGGAATCGCTGCCTCTGAGGACCAGTTGTGCCTGCCTTGGCAACGAGGAGGAACACATTCCATGTTGGAAAAGCACAGATCAGCTTCAGAAATGACGTGGATCCCATCGGGAGGGACCCTGTGACTGGTGCATTCAAGGCGGTCGGAGCAAACACTGTACCTTTCGACTGGGGGGCGGGGTGGCCGTGACCGGTCCAGGCTGATCTCCTGGGTGGTTCATAAGGTAAATCTATAAAGACGAATACATTGACTAAGAGATCAATAATTTACTTTTACCACAGGGGTCTTCTATGCTTTTTGCTTTGCGTTTATTTGAATCAATATTGTGCAAAAAAAAAAGCCAGAAATCCAAAGAAATGTTCAACCTGGATCCCATTAGATTCGAGTTTTATTTACAAATGATAAATTTGTGCCTTTTAGTGATCTAACATTTCTACCTGTTAACCTGCAACCCCTGCTGGCAGATTCCCCCAGAGCCTCGGACTCTCCTCCAACCACACGTCATGGCCACGTTGAACATTTCTCCCCACTGAACGTGTCCTGCACCTCAAGGACACTGACCTGTATCCAGCCCTTTTATTAAATCACTAAGACCATCCGAAACCCAGCCCACAACTCTGACGCATCAGCCAGTGCTTGCCTGAGGCCTGCACCTCCGCCCCCCAAACCATGCCCGAGTTCCTTTTCTGTTTTCTTCTGTGGAATGAGCTCTGCCTTCTTATCCTTTTTGCCGGCTGCCCCTCTCGGCCACCCCTCACTTTCTCTCTAATCTCAGCCTTTTATGTTGAATCACTCTTAACTGTCTCCCTTTTCTAGGCAGATGTCTCCTCTTTCTTCTTCTCGAACTGGATTTAGAATTTCTCCAAGATAAGCTGCATGACATAAATGGCAAGGCCAGAGGGCAGCGTCCCCACCCGTGCCAGCTATGAGCCCGGTAGTCCCTCGGCATGCATCACGTGAGATCCCTTGCCCCATCAATCGCCATGCACTTTGCACAGGTCCATTTAATACCCACTCCTGCATCCTCTGTGCGAGTTCTAGCAACGGCTAAGAAGGCTAAGTCATTGTAAGTTTCTTTCAAAAGCGTATCCCCGGAACACTGTTACGCGCACTCCAACTGTGCACACGTAACACTGCTCCTACCTCCCTCCACCTTAGTCCAGAGCCATTTTTAAAAAACAAACAAAAAAACTACTTCTTCTTGGACAGAAGGGCCTCAGCTCAATGCCGCGGGTCATTCCGGGCCAAGCAGAAGCCGCAGCCAGATGTCTGGGGACGTCTTGGCTGCCCGGCACCCGGGGGAGGCTTCAGCGTCGCCCTCGGAGGGCGGCTGGTTCTAAGCCTGACTTCAAACAGCTCACTTTACCCCTAAGCCTCGCTTCAGACAGCTCGCTTTACTGCATTAAAACTGGCAACGTGGAGGGCCGGTCTCCCCAGAGCTGGGCTGCGCTGCGAAGACGTGTCTCCCCCCATTTCCAACCCCAGAGAGACAGGCAGCGAGACGCAACGCGGTCAGCACGGAGCGGCCGCCCCTTCCTCGGCCTGCTTGGCTGCGCGCTTCCCCGGGGGAGGCGGGGGGGGGGGGCGCAGAAACCCTACCCTCGGGCTGGACGGCTTTCGTGTGTGAACTCGGCCACGGCCCACCGCTCCCTGTCGGCTGGCACCGACGCCGGCTCTCCCACCGGCTCCCAGTCTCACTTTCCTGGTGTCGGGGCTGCTGAGCCGCGGGGATTACGCCGGCATCCGCTATCCGTTTACAGCGAGCGGAATGCCAGCTTAAGTTTCTGGGAGCGCTTTGCCTAGGAATGCTCACCCAGTTGCATTTTGTCTGGAAAATGGTTCGTTAGCCAGCCTTGCCACGTGAGAGCTGGTTCAGAACAAAAGACAGGTCTCCCGGCCAGGCTGTCCTCCCGCATCCCGCCCAGCTCAGGGGCAGGGATGACACGTGTGTCCTGCTTGTGTCCTGGGATGGAGAGCACAGGGCTGGGGGCTGGGAACCCCAGGGGCTTCTGGGTACCAAATGCTGAAGCAAGGCAATATGGAGGATGCCCCCAGAATTACATCCACCCACTTTGAATACTTGTAAAAGCCGTGTTTTTAAAATACACTTCATTTTCAACATGGAGCTGTCGGCTGTTACAGTGCGGACACATTTTTGGGGGGACACCCTGCAGAAGTACATTCTAGACCCTCGTATCTCCCAGTGTGGCCCGCAGGCCAGCCACAAGGGCAACGTCTGGGAGCTGGTGAGAGGGTCAGAATCTCTCTGCAGGTGGACTCTTCCGGAACCCGCGTGTACCAGGATCCGGGGCGGTGCACACGGACACCGAGGAGGCCTGCTCCAGGCGTTTCCGCGGCCCATTCAGATCGCTCTGCTCCACAGCCCGTCACCCAGAGGCCCTGCCTGGGAGTGGCCACACAGAGAAAGGAGCGTGTGCACTGAGGTCTAGATCGGATGGTTGTATCTGAGCTAGAAGATCACTCATAGAATGAATAGCAAGTGTCAGTAGGTTAGTTCGCTGCTATTTTAAACATAAAGAAAAAAAAGTATTGCAGCTGGAAAAATTAAACACCAAACTACTAAGAGAGAAATATTTTTGAGACTCTATTTCCCCCTCCCCATAAAACCCTCCTCAGGGTGTGGCACCATGCCCATTCTCCCTCGAAAATAAGTCAGGACTTAAATGACACCAGGTCTGGCCTTTAGCCAAGAATCTGCCATGTTCCCATGACCAAGGACTGGCATGTTCGCAAACATGTGACCAGGGAAGATAAGCAGCTTTGTTTGCCTTTGTGACATCCTGGCCCGAGGCAGCCTTATCAGCTGCCGATCACAGCTGAGGGTGCCCAGGTCACCACCGCCCTCAGGGGTGTGTCAGGGGACCAGCAACACCTTCGCCACCCTCGGGGCAGAGGCCAGGGATTTACGGAGGAATGGCCGCTCCCTACACGTGGGCTGCTTGCCCTCAGGGACGGCAGCAGGGCTTGGCACCCGGAACTGTGTATGCTCCATCTCAGGGGGCACCAGTCCACTCTCCACGTCTCCCCAACCTTGGCCTTCGAAGCGACTAACTCTCGGCAGAAGGGCCTGCTTGGGCAAGGTCGGTTTCTAGCAGTGATCTGGCTGTGTGATTTTTTTTGTTGTTGTTGTTTGTTTTTGTTTTTTTTCCTGGTAAAAACCGAGCTTTCTAAACCCCATTACACAGGCAGCTTGGGGTTGCAGAGAGCAAACATGTGCCAGGATCCACACCCCCACCGCTGGGTACTTGCTGGCAGCTGGGATGGGTTCCTGGCTCTGAAAGAGCCTCCTCCTGCTCCCTGGACATCAAGTAACCCGGACAGCATCCTCTGGCCCTTCCTGCGGTTCCCTTCCTGCAGAGCTGGCCTCCCCCAGCTCACAGGCTCCTCCCTCTGGCCCCTGGAAGAACCGCCCTCTGGCCCTTTTGACTTCCGCCCTCCCACTTAGTTTCCCAAGGGCCGGAACTGTGGGAGGGCCCCCCTCATTCTGCAGGGTCCACCCCACGTGGCCCTGCTGGACTGGAGGGGAAAGACAGCCTTGCTGGCTCCCGATGGACTCAGAGGCCAAAGGCAAAGGCAGGGAGACAGAGCTGTTGCCGGAACCACTCTACCCAGGTTGCATGGGAGGAATGTCCAGAGGATGAAGCTGCCCTCCTGTTTTCCTCAGACATTTCCACAGCTTTCAATCGCCCCAAAGACAGGGGGAGCTGGGGCATTTTACACACACACACACACACACACCCGCTAGGTGTGCAGACCTCTGGGTGCAGGACAGCCATGGAAAAGCCTAGAATGCGTGCTTAGCCATTCGCTAAGATCCGGGGTTTCCAAAGCACCCGCCAGGGGAGAGGGTTCCCCACTGTCTGGCTGTGCCTCCTGTTGCCAACTCCGAGGGAGGGGCAACTCACAATTCCAAGAAACCCTGAAGGGCAGCCACTGGGAAGTGAAAGTCAAGGCTGCACTTGCAGGCTCAGCTGCCACTCTCTTTCGATAACATCCTAGATGGCTATCAGGATGCCCGAGTTGCCATGGCGATGGAGGAGGGCAGGAGGGGGTTACAGAACGTCCTCCTTGGCACACAGGAGGGCTTTCACATAAACTGCCCTTAAGATGCCAGGCGGGATGGCACGCAGTCAGAAACCAGCTTGCAAGTTCCTAGACGTCAGACCCGTCTCTGTCCACACCAGCTGAGACCACGAGGGCCGTGGCTCCGGAGGCAGGCGCCCGGCAGGGAGGGGGGGCGGGGAGAGGGTTTCTGATGCTGATGGCTGACAGCATGAGGAACACGTGAAACACGTACAACAATGGAATGTAAGTGATGTGTCTCCTAGGAGTGGGGGAGGGGCTGCTCTGGGTGCTGATGTGCAGGGAAAGGACGGGTGTCAGGGGAATTCCTCTTGCCCGTGCTGTTCCCCGAGGAGCAACCTTGACCCTCAGGCCGGCAGTGACCTCAGAAGCGGGCGGGCTCCTGCCTGCCGGGCACCCACCCAGTGCGTCTCTGCCCGCCCGGCTCCCAGGGACGGGGCTGATCTGCCTTTCATTCCCCAGGGTTAGAGGCGCCCTGAGGAGTGTGACCTGCGAGTGACCTTGGGCTCCAAACCCCCAGGGGCCCCAGCGGGCTGTGCAGGGCCCTCGGGCCCAGGATCGATCGGTTCTCTCTCGGGATCGCGTGGCCCGGGCCGTCCCGGGTGGCAGGGAGCACAGCGCACAGGGTGTTTCCGTACCTGGCCTAGTTGTAATTCTTTGCGTAGCGTCGGGGTATACGGAAGTATTGGGGAAAATAAAAGCTGCACCCCCTGCAGACAAAAGGAGAGACAAACGGTGAAGGTCTTCGGACGTGTCCCAGGTCCATCTCCGCGGCAGCGCCCGGCCTGCCATGCCTGGTGACAGGGAGCAGGGGCTGGGGGGCCTGTGCAGCGTGTCCCGGCAGAAAAGGCCGCTGCCTGGGCCAGAGGGGGATCCTGGAGCCGGGAGTGGACACGGGACCCTCTGGGCCCCACGGGTGGGCAGGTGTCTGCGTTGTGATTTTATGGCTTCTTGCTGAAGGCCCTCCCGGTGCCCCCGCCACATGCCCAGCAATTTTTATTTATTTTTAAAAATCCTATGGGAAGGGGGGGGGGTGTTTTAATTTTGAAATTGTGCTCTCAAAGAAAGTAAAATATTCTAGAGCCCCGGGAAAGCAGTCCCAAAGAATCATATTTTGCCAAAGACTATATGGATCTTATTAAAAACTAGAGCCTGATGCACAAAGATTTGTGCAAGAATGGGCCTCCTTTCCCTGGCTGCTGGCACAGCCTGTGCTCCAGCCAGAGCCGCTTTTCTGCCTTCCCATGCTGCCCAGAGGCCTGGAGAGGCTGAGACGGTGCAAAATGCCTGCATCCCTCCCCCTGCCGCTCGAAGCCTGTGTATGTAAATTAACCCACCAGCTTTGTTGGGTTAATTTGCATACTCATTCCTGATTGGCTGGTGGGTATTGCAAAGGTATGGTCAATTTGCATCTTTCTCTTTTATTAGTGTAGAGATGAATCTACATCTCCTCTCGAATGCCTCTTTTCCCTCTCTGTCTCTCAGTCAACAAGATATTCCCTCTTCTGGGCTCAGTCCATGCGGAGGTGGGTGTCCCAGGCTTTGATTGCTTCTACGTTTAACGATAACAAAAGGAATGACATCAGCGATGTCTTGAAACTTTTCCAGTTTTTAAATAACCATGAAACGATCACAAAACACGTCACTCAAAGGTGTTTTCCTAAGAGGGGGAAATTAAGTTATTTGTGATTTCTGGCCACAAGGTCATTACTGAGCTAATATTAGAGTGTAACCTACATGGGGAAAGTATCCTAAACAAAACTTTTTTTTTTTTTTTTTTTTTTTTTTTTTTTTTTTTTTTTTTTTTATTTTACTTTAGCTTAAAAACACAATGTCCTGAACACCGAGGACCAAGATCAAGTGGCAGTTTCATGGTGATACTCAAACCTGAGTATTTTAAAATAAAACGGCAAGTATTTGGAACACGGCTGTGTTTCTACTTGAGGGCTGACCCTGAGTTGCCCTGCTTGCTTATAGGGGTGACCTAAGCCTCACCCTCACTTCTTTACCCCCAACCTGGGCCTGGGGGGGGGGCGCGGGGTGGCAGAGGGTCCTGCAAGCTGAACAGTGGGGGAGGGTGGAGAGGAGGGGGCATGGCCATGCTCCTGCTGCTGTCCCCCAGGAGGGGGGAAAGGGACCCCAACTTCGGGCACATTCATGGGCAGGAACCTCAGCCCCTACTCGGAGCCTCTGTGATGGGGGGAGGGAGTGATGGAGGGAAGTTAGCCTGGAAGAAGCACTATGTTACATGCTACTGGGCTCAGGCAAAAATAAACAAATAAAAGGTAGACTCCAAGGTTAGAGACAGGAGAGCAGATCCTCGGTTAGTAACTCGTATCACAGCCTCTGAAATCCCAACACGGTCTCCCTCTCAACAGACCCTGGCAAAAACCACCACCATGCCCTCTGACCGCCTTTCACGGGTGCTGGAAGTCTGAGCTAGAAAGACGAGCGGCCGGACGGTGGCCTGAGATTAACCCTCAGAGGAGAAAATAGAACTCCTGCTTGTCCTAGTCCACATTCCTCAAAGAAAAATAAAGAAAAAGAAAAGGAATGCGAAGGGCCCCTGTGGATCAGGCATGCTCTTGGTGACGACAGCCAGCACAGCGCCTCCTACCTGTCAGAACCCCTCACTAAGTCCACCTCTGCCTCTGCCTCTGCCCTCCGGACGCACCGACGGCCCACACTCCACCGTAAGGCATGCACCTGCGGGAGCCCCTGGCCGGGCCGGGGCGGGGCAGCATTACCTGTGTTTCTAGCATGCATTAACCGCGGAGAGTTTTGTAAGGCTTTATCAACATCATCTGAAGTCAAATGCGGAAGAGGAGCTACAAAACAAAACAGCAACATCAAGATGAAAGAAGGGAGAGGATTACCTTCTTTAAAAAGAAAAAAAAAAAAAGAAAAAGAAAAGAACACCCCCTCCCTACCGACCCTACCGCCACGGCTGCTTGGCATCTCTCACAGCCTGACTGGTTAGCGTGTTAAAACTTAGACGGGGCCCCACGTGACCAGGGAGTGAGTGGTGGGGATGCCAGGCAAAGCGTTCACCCCAGCGGTTCCGCCACCCCACGCTCGCACTGTGCTTGTCCCCCCCACCATGCCCGCCGTCTGAGGAGCGAGAGCATGCAGCAGACTGTGGTCCATGCCTCTCACCCCACCGCGCCACCCCCTCTGTACGGTCCCACCACATCTCCTGAGGCCAGGGGGAGACCCCCTCACACGGGGACGTGGGGTGTGAAGGGGGCCTGGTCTGGCATGAAGGAAGATCAGTCCCTGCACCCCGTCCTCCGGGAGCCCTGCCACAGGTCTCCAGCTCACTGGGGTAACGTGACCAGATAAAGCTTCCTGTCCCTTGGGACTTCTCGGCCCAGGGGACCCTGCAGGAGGCAGCTGGGTGCTAAGGTGACTCTCAGGCTTCCTCTAAACACACCGAGGACTTCTCAGCCTGAGTTCGCCAACGGCCGTGGTCAGCAAACTGCGGCTCTTTGGCCCCTTGGGTGTGGCTCTTCCACAGAACACCACGGCCTGGGCGAGTCTATTTTGAAGAGGTGGCGTTAGAAGAAGTTTAAGTTTAAAAAATGTGGCTCTCCAAAGAAATGTCAATCGTTGTGCTGTTGGTATTTGGCTCTGTGGACGGATGAGTTTGCCGACCACTGACTGGCCTAGGGCACCGCCTCCTAAGCGGCCCGCTCTCTCAGACGCTCTCTGGGGACGGTGTCAGGGCCGAAAGGTGGCCTGGGTGAGCTGGACGGAGCCCTGGGCAGCCCACGCGAACAGGAGCCACACCCGCAGGCCCGGGTCCGGAGCGGGGCCCGCTTACTCTCTCTGAGGTAGTGGAGGTGGGAGAGAAGGATGTCGGCGTTGTAGCTGGGCGTGAGCCTCTGGAAGTCGTCCTTGGTCATCTTGCACAGCTCCTTGCCGTCGATGTTCTGGAACAGCAGGACGTCGACATCAGGAAGGCCGTACTCCTTCACGGCCCACTCCAGCCACTGCCGCACGTGGTCCGTGCTCCACAGCGTGGGGTCTGAGGGGGAGGGAAACGTGCTAGGTCAGCTCCTGGAGGTGCATTTCTGGGGCAGGGCCAGGGGTGGAGCCAGGCTCCGGGACAGGGCCCGACCTTGAACCATGCTCTCGGACAGGTCATGACCTTGAGTCAGGTTCCAGGACAGGTCAGGGCCTGAAACTAGGCTCTGGGACAGGTGAGGGCCTGTAGCCAGGCTCTAGGACAGGCCATGACCTTGAACCATGTTCTCAGACAGGGCAGGGCTTAGAGCCAGGCTCCTGGAGAGGACACGACCTTGAACCGTGCTCTTGCACAAGTCGTGACCTTGAGTCAGGGTCCAGGACAGGCGAGGGCCTGCAGCCAGGCTCCGGGACAGGTCAGAGAGAACGTGTGGGGGAAAGACAGAAACACCCGCTGGCTCACACACACGGATCCCTGTCCTTAGCATTTTTTCCTCTGGAAGTCTAGGCCTCCTCCCCCACCTGCTCGGACACTCTGACGACTCCTGCAGGGACGGGGGCGGGTATTCTCTGTCTCCATTTACATTCACTTTAACCTTTTCGCTTAAAATAAATGGGAATAAACGGAACACGTCCTTAGAACACGACGGGTATCTGGATAGGAAGTTATGAGTTGCCAGCACATGTCAGGAAGATGCTAATTATAGATTCTAAAAAGATCCAAAACGGTATTGACACAAAATCCTGAATGGACAGAATGGGACAGGAAGCGCAGGTACATCCCCGCCCTGCCTGGGCGCTGGCCCTGCTGGGAGCGAGCCGTCGGTTCCATGTTTTCCTGCCGAGAACATGGCTGTGCAGCCAGCACGCACCTGCAGGCCCGGCAGGCCTGGCAATGACTCACATCCCGCAGCTGCGCGCCCGCACACCACAGGATGCAGGCAGGCGACGGCTTCACGCTCCCCCGAGTGTGAGGGAGGGGGCCCGGGAGGGCAGGGCCCTGGGGAGAAGGAGCCGGCGAACCCCAACAGAAACACCCAAACGCCTGGGGGCCGGGGGCCCAGGGCACCCCCAGCCAGAGGGGGCTCCTCCCTTGTGGCCCTGGGCTCCCAGCCACCTGGGCAGGAGCAGGAGCCCGGAGCTGTGCCCCCAGCGCCTCTGAACTTGCTGCTGCCTCTGCAGGTGCCTCTCTCTTCTCTTTCACATGTAACATGGGAGCCCTGGCCTCGGCCCGCACAGGCCTGCGGGGCCAGGTGCCAGGATGCTCTGGTCACGGCGAGTGGAACATTCCGGTGTGGGAGGAAGTCCTCCTCCTCTGGAATCATTGTGTAGCTGGTCATGTTAGCCCTCTTTGGTCTTACTGACGCCTAGCCCAGTGGTCGGCAAACTCATTAGTCCCCAGAGCCAAATATCAACAGTACAACGATTGAAATTTCTTTGGAGAGCCACATTTTTTAAACTTAAAACTTCTAACGCCACTTCTTCAACATAGACTTGCGCCCAGGCCGTGGGGTTTTGTGGAAGAGCCACACTCAAGGGGCCAGAGAGCCACAGTTTGCCGACCACAGGTCTAGGCTACCGTGTGTGCCCATGAAGTCAATTTAAGTTAGAGGAGCAACAGTGAGAGTGAAAAATCTCCAAACAGTCATCGTATCTGAGTTCTCTTCCCTCTCTCCCTCCCTCCCTCCTCTTTCATTCATCCCCTTCTCTTTCACATCTTTTTAAAAACTTAAATGTACTGGGTGACAATGGTTAATAACACGTGAGTTTCAGGTGCACAATTCTGCACTGCATCACCAGTGTTCCACTGTGCGCTCACCACCCCGAGTCTAGAGTCTCCTTCTGTCCCCATATGTCTGACCCCCTTTAGCCTCGTCATCCTCGTCCCGCCCCCTTCCTCCCTGACCACCACCCCATGGGTGTCTGTGTCGACGAGTCCATTTGTTGCTTTTTGGTTCGTATCCTACGTAAGGGAGATTGTTCTGGTAAAGGGTTCTTGTTTCCTGCCTATGTTTAATAGAAAGAAATGACTTCAAATCCAGTGCACGCTACCCTCGCCCCACCCCTCCCGCACCCTCCAGGAGTTACCCCGGAAGTCCGAGCTTGCGTCATGGCTATGGATGCCAATACTGTTACCCCACCACGCACGTGCACTGCTTTCTGTTCTTGGAGTCCACAGCAGCGGCAGCTGACTGGCTTTGGCTCTGTATTTCCCTGTATTTCCCAGATGTACCCACGTTAGTGCGTGCAGGTACACTCAGCCATCTAAGCAGCTCTGGGCGCCCCTCCCATACAAATATGTCCAATTTACTGGCCAATGCACATCATCCCTGTGTCTGCATCCATGTACATATGAAGGAACCTACATGGTAAACTGCCTGGAGTCCATATCAGAATCACAGGGAGATGGGGAAACTTCAGCTGCCTGGTCTCGCCCACGGAGGTCCTGACTTAATGGCTGGAGGGCAGCCCGGACATGAGAGTTGTGCAAAGCTCCCTGGGTAATTCCAACCTGCAGCCCAGGTCCAGGCCACCTACCCGGGCCTCTCTGCTCAGAGTGTGACCCTGGGAAATGCAGAGTCTCTTGCCTTAGCCAGTTTGGCTCAGTGGATAGAGCATCGGCCTGCAGACTGAAGGGTCCCAGGTTCAATTCCCAGTCAAGGCACCTGCCTGGGTTGTGGGCTCAATCCCCAGTAGGGGGCATACGGGAGGCAGCGGATCAATGATTCTCCTCGTTAACGTTTCTCTCTCTCTCTCTCCCTTCCTCACTGAAATCAATACAAATATATGTTTAAAAGGAAAGAAATGCAGAGTCTTGGGTGCCCCTGGACTTGCTGAATCAGGGTGTGCATTTCCTCAAGCTCCTTAGTAAGCTTGGGGAGTCCTGTTCCAGAGTGAGTACCCAGATGTGCGACTGGACCAGGGTTCGGGTCACAGGGCATGTGCCTGGTCTCCTTCACCAGCTGTACTGGATTTCAACCCAAATCCTAACCCTCTCTCTCCATTAGCAATCAGTGTGCAGGTTCTGCTAGCAAAGGCGGAGCCCGGCTCTCCTGCAGAGACGAGATCATCTACAAAAACACACAAAAAAACCCACCGCTCGCGACAGGACAGCATGCCCCCTCCGCCGCCCAAACACATGGGGACAGTCTGTGAGCCTGCAAGCCGGACCTGAGTGCAAGGTTCACTTTCTCCCCTCACCAGGGTTCAGGTGGCTCTTAAAAAAAAAAAATAAAAATAAAAAAAAAAAAAAAAAAAAAAAAAAAATATATATATATATATATATATATATGTTTTTATTGATTTCAGAGAGGAAGGGACAGGGAGGGAGGGATAGAATCATTGATCAGCTGCCTCCTGCACAGCCCCCTATGGGGATCAAGCCCACAATCTGGGCATGTGTCCTAACTGGGAATCAAACCGTGACCTCCTGGTTCATAGGTCAGTGCTTAACCACTGAGCAACACTGGCCAAGCCACACAGCTCTTGGTCACTGGGTCCAGTCTCTGCTTTCAGGGTGACAACACCACCCCAGACTGTGTTCACAGGGCTCTTCTCTCCTTTCCATGGTGATGCGCACACAGACATGCATGGAACAGCGGCCCGGACCCCTCACACAAGTCCTCCTGTCTTGGTGCCATGCAGAGGACAGGGCCTCCTCTCAGAGGGAGACTCCCTGCCCCCTCTCCCTACGGCATCCCCCGTGACTCCTCCGGGAGACCTTGGCCAAACTGGGCTTCTTTGGGCTTTGCTTTGCCTGAACCACAGGGCGGGGCCAGGGTAACTGCTGCCTAGCAACCAGAGCACCGGGAACTGCCTCCTCTCAGCGGCAGGACCAGAGTCTAAGGATGACACACAATTCCCTGGGAGCCACGGGCCCTGCTGCCATGGCGACAGGACGTCATAGCAGGGCAGCCATCCAACACCCAGCCCCCCCTCCCCCCCCCCTGTGCCCAGCAGCTGGCTTCCTGCCCGAGCCAGGGGCCTAAGTCTCAACTGTCTCCCAGGGACTCCTGTGCAGGGCGCCAGGCACCAGCTCCTGCACCGGCACCAGCTCATCTGAGGTTTCGGCGGAACTCCGTGCTCCCCAGCTCAGGGCAGGGTGAACGCTGCACCCAGCCCTCCTCCCAGGAGCCCTCTGGCCACATGATCCCCAGGCCTTCCTAAAGAACAGGTGCACGCGCTGAAACCGGTGTGGCTCAGTGGATAGAGCGTCGGCTGGCTGACTGAGGGGTCCCAGGTTCGATGCCGTTCAGGAGCATGTACCTTGGTTGCGGGCACATCCCCAGTAGGGGGTGTGCAGGAGGCAGCTGATGGACGATTCTCTCTCATTGATGTTTCTAACTATCTATCCCTCTCTCTTCCTCTCTGTGAAAAAATCAATAAAATATATATATATTTTAAAAAAAGAGCAGGTGCACACTCTCTGGACTGCAAACCCCATGCCCAGGAACGCGTCCTAAGACAGTGGCAGAGGGTGTGCGAAGGGAGTTATGCCCACGATGTCCTCTGCGGGGTGTGTATGATGGGCACACCCTAACTGCCCACAGGGCCGGGAAACCGAAACCCACACCGACAGGAAAAGCCGCTGGGGGCGATTCAATGATCCCACTGAAAAGTCTGGCAACACTGCGGCGGCAGCGGGAAAGGGTCTGGAGGACTATGCAGCCCAGTGGCTACTGCCCTTTGCGGGGAAAAGGCCATGGAGATTTTTAGAATTTTTTTCTATTTCACTAAACTGTATCTACTCTTTACTTTTTTCTTCAAAAAGAGCAGATGATGCCTGGGTTAAAAATTATTTATTAAAAAAAAAATGTACCCTCCCCTACGTTCCAAATCAAAACAAGGTCTTATAAAGGATTACATATAGATTTATATGGGCACTTATTTGTCAGTGTTTTTTTGTTTGTCTGTTTTTTAAATATATATTTTATTGATTTTTTTTTTTTTTTTTTTTTTTTTTTTTTTTTTACAGAGAAGAAGAGAGAGGGATAGAGAGCTAGAAACATCAATGAGAGAGAAACATTGATCAGCTGCCTCCTGCACACCCCCCATTGGGGA